TTGAAGCCGTTATGATCTCTGAACCTGAAACAATTGCACCTGAATTCGAAGGAACCTCAGTTAAAAGACGAAAAATTCATCACAAAACTCGTGATTATAATTTACGAAGACAGACCTCAATCAATTACAAACATAGTCAGGTAACGGTGAGAAACATAAAAATACAAGCTGGAAAGCAACAATAACAAATAACAATATTATGGATATATCAACCATATAATAGTGACAACTTTATTTTTAGGTTTCACATCCGTTTTTATCACAATTACCAAGAAATGATTTTTTTGACGATAATAATGAATCGTTAATTTGCACAAGGTGCCCCATACATTGTGAGTTGACGAATCTGTGAAGAGATCGATCACCCGAACTTTTAGTTTCTTAACATTGTCTAGCTACCTTAGATATTGCTAATGATTCACTTGGTTATGAGGGAGAATAAGAAATAACAAAGGCGCTTTGTGCAAACCTTAAATTTGTTAAATGTTTTAATGATCAACTTGGTTCTAATAAAGGAAAGTTTATTAAATAAACGCTATTCTACGTTTTTAAATATATATTAACTGAATTAGTTGTGAAAGCATGTTTAAATTTTATCAATACAGAAATCAATACTAAAATAAGTTTATTTGTTTTCAAAAAGCGTTTTCTGAATGTATCATTAACAAAATACATAATAAAATAATGTTTATTTAATGATTATGGGATTTTAAATTTTAGTGACTCAAAGTTGTAAATAAAATTTTTTATAGATTTTTTAGACCTCAAATTTAGTTCCTGCCTAGGGCTGTTAAAAAGTTTGTCGGACCTAGTGTTGGCAGGTAAACTTAGAAGTTTCGTCACAGATGAATAGCGAAACCTAGTTTCGACTTTCGCCAAAAAAGAAAATTAAAATGACGAAATGGCGAAAGGTGGCGAAACTGAAGATACTGGTAAACTGTTAAAGGTGGCGAAACTAGAAAAAAAGGTAACAAAACTAGTGAAAGATAGTAAAATTAATAACAAAAAAAAGCAAGAATAAAAAGGTAATAAAGCTTTTTTATGTAATAATTATTTTTATTTATATATTTAATATTTATGTAAGAATTTTGCTAACCATATCTGGTGGTGATCATCACCGGGTGATATATTATAAAAACCTATATACTATATAGTTAACTCACGTCGGGAATACTTAGCAAAAATGTTCAGAACCACCAAAAAACCTAGCCCTAACTAACATTCGGACCTTTATATCGAAACCCTAAAATCACACGTTTTTTAAATTGTATATAAAAATAAGTATATTAAGTTTTCTTTAGTATTAAAGCAAATATACCTCAAGCACAAACCAAACTGCTTAGAGCAATTTAAGTAGATTTCATGTATAGTAATCCAGATTTGATTCTGTGGTTTAAACAGTCCAATTATTGTTTATGAAGAATATATACAGTATCCTACATCATAAATAATGCCTGTAAAAAAAAATAGGCAATTCTCGTTATTGTAGTTATACATTATGTGACATAAATAAATTTTGGTATAATTCATATTTTATTCCGAATATAATACAATACATATATCTTAGTGTTTGGAAATTAGACCAACTTTGTTATACCGTACTTTTGGAATGTATAAATCTAATTAGGACTCGGGTGCCCAACAAGAATAATTGTTGCGGCTGAAGCTGGAAATTTTAAATATTTTATTATGAAATTTTCAAAATTTTTTGGGTGCATTTTTTTAGCTTTTTTTTCATGGTTAGATTAGGAATTAGGGCTAGTTTTGATAATGAAAGAGTATAAGTGGATTTTGGCAGGTTTATATTTTTAAATCAGAGTCCCTGATTTCCAGCCTGAGCCGTTTCCAGCATCAACCGCGACAATAATTATTGATAATATATCTGTATTGTACAGTACATTAATCCCAATCTCCAGTGATAATTTTCAAATGGAAAAATCAGATTTATAATATTATTTTTTCTATAGCGTTGAATTTTAATAATAAATTGCCATTTTTGAGTATAAATTCAGATAGACTTAGAGCCAAATATATAGATAAAGTGATTAATTACTTTTTAGAGACTTAATAATTAATTAATGCTATTGAAAAATAAATGATCAAATTTCCACTAAACACAAATTATATAAAGATTTTTGGTTATACCTATAGTTCATTGTTAATTTACCAGAATTTCTTTTATTTATTATTGTTATTATTATTTTAAATAAAAAGGTCCTGATAAATATAAAGCTGCTACTATAATTCTAGCAAACAATCCAATTTCTCCAGCGTGTCAACTGTTTTACTTTGAAGTTAAAATTATAGATAAAGGAGAAATGGGTAATATTAATAATTATTTGGTGTTTTAAAATAGAATAATTGCATAGTAATTTTATTTCTTAAAAGAATGATTGGAGTCTGATTTTGCACAAAGCAAAATACAAGAACAGTTAGTTCAAATACAGAACCGGATGTCCAAATATCATTCTCATACAAATTTTTATTTTATTTTATTTTATTTTATTTTATTAATAATCATTATGCCTTAATACCTGTGTAATAATCCTAGGACAGAAAAATAATTCATGGAGCTATCATGGCGATGATGGATATTCTTTTAGTTCTGGAAGTGGCGTACCATATGGACGCCATATACTATCGGATACCATTGGATGCTATTTGAATTTTAGAAATAAGATAGTATTTTACACTAAAAATGGAGTAAACTTATGTAACTGTATACTTAGAAAGTGAATTTATATTGATTTTAGAAGCAATTATATAGGAATTTAATACTTTATACAACTTATTTAAGGAATCGCTTGTTATTTACCTAACGATTTGTATGACGTACTGTATCCTTGTGTTGGACTTAGATCTCAGAGCGGTCTGTGAAAGTAAATTTTGGATATACTGTAAAAAGTTCAATCTTCAGGTAAATTTGTTTAATATTATATGATTTATATGTTTGATGTGTTAAGTTTATATATACTGTACATTCTACTTTGTTATACAAATAGCAATGATTAATGAAGATATTGGCAATATTGGCAATAATGGTAGTAAATTAGAAAGAAACAACTCACAAATAAAAAACTGAATTAACCAAATAAATGCACTTTCATTAAAATATCAAAAAAAGATTTATCCCATTATAGGCAGATATGAAACAACACATCCTGTTTTAATTAATAAATTAACATCATTAGAAAGCCAACCAAATAATTTATTTGAATGAGGAAAAGTATATTTCATTATTGGCAAATATGAAGAAGCACTAGTAGATTTGAATAAATTATTGGAAATTGAACCGGATAATACTGTACAATATCATTAAGATACCGAGGAGAAACTTATTACATGATGAAAATATGAGAAATTATTGAAATTAAACCGAATAATACATGGGTAATTGAGGCTCATAAATTAGTTAAATCAAGTAAGTATAATGTACACTTAAAATCAGTGTCATAAAACAACTTTAAAATTAGTGCTCACCAATAAATATAATTTATATATTTCTGTATGTGAGTATTAGAAGTTGATAATTCCAACACCAACAATAACAACATTAACCAATGCATATACGTATTACAATACGCTAGTTCGTAAGTATACTGTATCGTAAATTTTTTTTAAACAAAAATAACAAATTAATCAATACACTACACTAGTGAGTAAGTATACAGTTATCATACAGAAGTCATGAAACATAAAAAATATCTATCAACCAGCGTACATACGTCACTACAATATACTACACTAGTTAGTAAGTATTGTATCAGAATATTCTTTAAACTAAACTCACGATAATTCTAACACAACATTAACTAACCAACGAACATACATCACTATGCTAGTCAGTGTGTATACTATCAGAATACTTGTTTTTAAACAGAAGTTACGATAATTCCAACACATAAAATAACACATTAATGTTAACTAATGAAATACGTCACCACAATAACTATACTGGTACTAGTGAGTATGTATGCTATGTCAGAATATATTTTTTTTAAGCAGAAGTCAAAAACCACAAAACTAATGCAACACGTCACTACGCTATATTATTTAATATGTATACTGTATCAGAATATATATTTTTTAAATAGAAGTCATGATAATTTTAGCACTAAAAAAATAACAACATTAACCAATGCACAATACACTAGTTAGTAAGTATACTGCAGCAGAATTTTTTTTAATCAAAATTCGCGATAACTAACACAATATTAACCAATTGCCACCATAGTACACTTCGCTAGTGAGGGACTATTTCAGAATTTTTTTTAAAATAGAAATCACGATAATTTCAATTAGGGTTCTAATTATAAAAAGTGATGGTATAATACCGTGTATAATACGGTATTATACCGTGTAGGGTGGTATAATTTTGGTATAATTTTTAATGTTGTAGAGTATATTATAAATAAAATTAGAGTTCTAGGATTTTCTTAAATAATAAAATATTTTTTTATCGTTATTTGTAAAAGTAAACCAAAAATAATGTACGCCGATTTTTATTTCAGAGATTTGAAATCTCAATATATTGTAGGACGATCTTAATACTCACCGGAGGTGAAATTCACCGGTTATATGATTAGCCAATCAAATCGCAGGATCTTTGTGTAACAAAAATGAAGAATTTTTAAGAAAAAAACCAAAAAACGTTAATATCTTAAATTTTTATTATGAAAACTTACTTCATGTCATTAAGTAAAAGTTTTCAGTGCTTAATTTTACATATAATAAACACTCTAACCCTAATATAGTCTTCGCCCTAACCTTAAAGTTAATAAAAAAATTTTTTTATTAGGAAATAAACAAACAAAACTATATACCGGTTAATTTCACCTATGGTTATTTCTAAATAAATTCTATATTGTATGCTAGAAGTTGAAACCGGTTAAAAATTTGGAACTGAAATATATTTGTATATAATATAAAAGTCAAAGTCAGTTACTAATTTAAACTAATCTTAATCAGATACGTGTAATTTCACTTTTTTTTTGTAAAAATTTGATTTACCTTCAAATTTTATTGTTATTATTATTATTACGGGTCCGTATTATTTCACTTCACCGACAGCTCATTTAGCCGACATCACCCCAGATGAAATTTAGTAAAAATATATACCTGCAACTAATCAAATGCTTAACCCTAACCCTATGTGATGTCGACTAAATGAGCGTTCGGTTGAATTGATCGGAACCTTATTATTATACATATAACTAGTACATGTAATGAAATATAGGTAATGAAATATAGGTAAATATTAGAAATAAAATATATAAAATATATCATTGAGGCATTGGATCTGTATGCACTTTAAGCAATCTTGGCATTTGTAATACATACTTTTAAGTGTCATATATATTAAATTACAGGTGTTAATACGTAGCATTATCGTTATAGATTTTTTGATCAAATGCATTAATGTATTACAACAGTTAATTATAT